GCTGTTCGGTATTCCTTTGAAGACTACAGCAGTACTTTACATTATAGATATTTATCACTGGCATGGAGGCTGAAACACTAACTGTACACCATACTCCCTGCCCTTTTAAAATATTAATTGATGAGTAACGGTCTATGGAGCCTCATAAAGTATTAACTCTTTAAGTGGAGAAGATCACTGCTTAACAGCATAGCACAAATCCTACATGATTTAAATCCCATGCAATCCTATTAAAATCCAAAGAGTTTCAAGCTGTTTACGTTAGTTCAGTATCTAATATTAACACCTTGTTTTGAAACCTCATGTGAGCAATATTGGTCTGTCGGACCAGCAGGACAGTGGAAAGTAAGTTCCATCTTCCTGACCAATGTGGGGTTATACAAAAATGGAGCCTACACCTTGAACTTCAATGCTTCATCCTTTTCTTGGCTTGCTGCTTTTCAGCAGCTTCCATGTTATGAACTACATACTAGGTTAGCTAGTGTTTGAACAATTGTCCTACATCTCCTGAATTGCCATACCTGAAGCTGAAGGTAATAGTCTGCATTTCCCTGAACACTGGCCACTGGATAGTTAGTGTATGGAAGTGTAAGACTTGAGACAGACTCATTTATTTTGTCAAATATATAGTCCAGATGCCATATTTATTTGGAGTTCTCATTCCTCTTTTTTTTTTTTTTTTTTCCCCTCTAAATTTTCAGCTATTCAACTTACCTCTGACCTGAGTGTAAGTGATTTGTTAGGCTCATGAATTTTTCGTTCAGAGGAAAATTTTGAAGCTATCACACCAAAGATGCATGACTGCATAACATAACAATTATATCTGGACTTTATAAAAAGTAGATGGAAATGAGTATGAAAAAAAATTATTCTTCACAGATATCCACAGATATGTACAAATAAGTAACTTTTGAATGACAGATTGTCATCAATGGCAGGGGCAGGGCTTCATACCCTTTCTGGGTTGTATGAGAGAGCCTGAAAGATATTTAACATACTCAAAATGAGACACTAATAGCTTGAAGATCAGCAGTGCTGACCAACCCTGCTGGTACTAGCTCAAACACCATAGATGTTCAGACTCCCTAAAACTTAAAAATGGTAGAACAAGTTTTCCAAGATGTATTTATTGCCTATGAATACCCCCAAACCATTATTCACAGTACAATGATAATGACTTGACTCACACCTAAAGAAATCAGCAGATGGGCTCCTTCCTCTTCATATAAAAGTGTCAGCTGAATATAAGAAGGATAAAGCTAAGAGAGTTATGTGTCAACTATGCCAAAACAGAAAGAAACATTGCCAGGTGTAGGAATCTTTTATTTAGACACATATTTCCTCAAATTTTAGTTTTCTTTACTAAATTCCAAGGTACCTTTGTATAAGAGACATCAGAAATATGCTCTCTGATTACAGCCACTAGATTTCTGCTTATATTGCTAAGTTAGTAAATGTACAAGTGTGCAGAGTGTCTTTAATTGCTACCACCAGGAAGAAATTTTCCCTTAGGATTCATTAGCTAATGACTTCCTCCCTCACTGAGTCGTAAATCTACACAAGCCTTTGGCAAACCGGTCATTTGCCTTCTTAGAAGCCAGAGGTGAAGGACCCAAACAGGTGGGAGCCACAACTACAAACATATGCATGTAATAAAATTAGCAAGTACATATACTTGTACGATACCCTTATAAAATTGTTCTCCTGATAAATTTTAAGTATCCACTCAAATCATACTTGTGTGTGAAGTAAATGTTTTCTAGAGCCAATAAATTAAATTAATTATTAGTTTTACAACATTCTTAACCACTCAAGCTCTAGGGTTTTTAGCACAGTAGCAGTATATATAGTACATATGGTATATACAGTGCTACAGGATGGCCCAGTTATGGTACGTTTGCTCCCCTTCAGACACCTATGTGAAGTTCTATTAATAAGAGACTACACTGGAGGTGCTATGTGTAGAGTACTTGACGACACACAACCAAAAGACACATTCATGTTATATAGCAATATATATACTATGCTGTAGGGCAAACACATACTTAGAACATGTGAATGGGTTTCTTTTAGGGCCCAGGAGAGGTAGTGAATTGAAAATGTATTGGAATTTCCTCCTTCTGAGCAGTTGTACCGAAGTCCAGGTGTGAAGGTGTTCATGGTGAAGAGGACATTCATGAGAGTCTAGTTTTTCAGTTTCCAGCATTCGAGTGTGCTCACCTGTAAATACGCTCCTAATCCACAGGAAAAGGTGGTGGGAGGCTTTACCATTATTAAAGAGTGAGTAGCTTTCCTGTGGCAGGGGTGTGTGACTAACACCAGAGTCATCCTTCCAAATTTCACCTACTTGGTAGCAGCTCGAAGTTCTGGCTCTCAAACTCACACTAGTCAGGAATGGCAATATCTCCTCTGTGTCATCTTCTGAGCACAGACTTGGGAGTGCTAGATAAATCTCTTTTTCTGGACTTTGGTACTACAAGGGGGTACGTGCCGCAGTTTCTACGATTACACAGGGCTGGAAGCAAGCTTGCTACATTAGTTCGACATCTGATTTTCAAAATTGTTTTTTCTGCTGAAATGTTTTCAAATGCATTTTGAAGGCTGCTATTATCCATGTTGTTTCTGTTCCTATATTTGGAGTCATAATAGTGTTTTGCTACAGAAACAAGTCATTGTGGGGTAATTAGATACTGCACAAACTGTTCTGCAGTAACTGCAGCAGACAGGAACTTGTTAACCTCTGCAACAGAGAGTACCTGGAGAGAGCTTCGCCCCAGTGAATGACAGGACAGTTTCCTCAGCAGGGGACACCGTGGGATAAAAGCTTGCACACAGGCCCTTGGCACGCACTGACTTCTACCTCTGTCAAAGTCTTTAGCTTTTGAAGTACATCAATTCTCTTAGAAAAAAAAACCAGCACAAACAACATTTTCATGAAGTCACTGAGAATTTTCCCATCCTGCTCTTTACTAGGACCTAAAAAAGAAAGCTTGTCTCATTGCCCCAATGATCAGAAGGTTGTTTTGACTCCATCTACTGAAATGACAGCACAGCATGCTTTCTGATCAGAGTTGCAGTTCCAAATGTAAATACACAGATTATATGTTTACTAAAAGTATCTGTATGCAAGTAACTGCATCAAGTGCACAGCCATAGTTTTTGCCTATTCCAGTGTATCACTTCGAATGCTCACAAGACTGGAAAAAATTGATGATAATAACCTTTGATTATAAACCAGCTTGTACTCTATTTGCTCTCTGGCCAGATGTGCCTAATTCCTGTTGTCACCCTTGCAAGAGCATGGATGCACAAACAACAAGAACTCTACATGCAGCATTTCACTTTCTCACAGTGTAGGGTTCATGCTGGTCCCTCAATTTGCCATTGCAGTGGCGTGCCTGGCCATGTGAGAGGCACCCCAAACTCCAGAACCACTTGCCCTGCACTGGGTGAGGACCACAGGTGAGAGGGCAGGGAGCACCCAGCCCTGTGCGCAGCCGAGCACACGTGAGAAACTGGTGCTGACAGTGCAGTGAAAGCTCCAGTTACTTTTGGTACCTCCCTGGGGTTGCAGAGCTTCCCACTGGCCAAATAACAATTCATCAGTTCCGGAGAATTGGTCCAGGGGGGTGGGATTTAGGTCCTGATCAGCTGAATCCTTTTAGAGTGTGGGGTTAAACCAAGAACCCATTTACTTTTCATTTCCCATTAACCAGGTAGACTGTAGCAGTGTCCCAGTAGTGCTGAATGTGTCTAGTGAATAGCGTGAACAGAGTAAGCTATTGCCGCTGGGAGAGATCTTTTCTTTTAAAGAGCCTGTTTTACATAGGGAATACCTTAGCTCTCTTCCTTGGAGTATAGCATCCAATTAAAAAAAAAAGAAAAAAAAAAAAGCTCCACCAAAGCCCACGTCAGAACCCTACCCACGCAGACAGATAATTTCAACTCACTCTCCAGAAAGCCAGCTATAACTGTGGAATAACGTAGCAGCCTTCCTCGCCTTCCTATGTTAGACCCAGGCAGCCACTGCCTTTAAGAAACTGGGGCCAGCACAAACCTTCCCTGTTGAGCAGCTGCTTTGCTCATACAGTACTTCCTAAGGCTCTACCCAGCTGTATGCTCCTAGGGACAAGGACCTCCCTATTTTTACATGTCTAGGCAGCACATAGCATCACTATGAAGTCCACAGGAAGACCTGTTGGGTGTTATTATAGTATCAATCATAAGTAAGGAATAGAGGATCAGCAAAGACACATTATCCAGGTAAGCTGCAAATAACATTCATTATGTAAGGTTACTACTGTTCTCCCTTTACCTATCTTCCAAGTAACATACTGGCAGGCAGAAAAAACTTTTCATATGCAAGACAATCAAAAATTGCCATTTGAGCTGGAAGTTGGTTTTCAGTAAGGTAAATCAAACCATATTTAAAATTAATAAATAAAAGGCTGTGAAAAAAAAAATCCTTTTCTGGGAGGTGTACATAAAGATTATTGTGCCAAACCAGTCACTTACATCCTGTTTCAACTAATGGCTTGTTAAACAGTGAAAGTTCACTGATGGTTCTGCTAGAGAAGGTGAGGCAAGTGAGACACCCCAAACCCCCAAGCAAAATTCTCTTTTCTGAACCTGTTTAGAAAAATCAATCTTTCCAACCATGAACAAAACCCTTTAAGTGATCTGATGCTTTGGTGTGAAAATAGCAAACATCTATTGGCATCTATCCCCTCCCTGAGCCCCACCACTCCCCCGGGCCCTTACTGCCATTAGGAGGAGAAAACACAAGCAAAAAATCCCCAAATCAAACCATCTCCAAAGGCAGGTATTTTCCCAGTTCAGACTCTGGAGCTGCCCGGATGACAGGGAGAATTCAGAAGTAGGAGTGTCAGAGCAGGCACCACTGATCCTGGGCACAGGGCTCCAAATAAAAATCAAAGCAACACATATCTTTTCAAAACAAAGAAAGAGTGGGAAAAAAAAAAATCTCATTCTCCAAGTACCTTTGATTCCTGGCTGGTAGTAGATGCTGGAGAGGGGGGCTGCTCTGTGCTCTCCACTTCATTCTCTTTCTCCACACTATCCACGCTGACTTCAGTCGTGCTGCTCGGAGGAATCATTTCACCTCTAAAGCACCGCTACTAGCAGGAAAAAAAAAAGCTACAGATCCTTCTTGCTTTTTTTCATTTAACGTCCTCTTCTCTGCTCTCCTAGAGCAAATGAACTCCCACCACTTGGTTCCACTACATTTGCAAGACTAGAATTCTCTGGATTTTCCTTTTTTTCCTTTTCCTCCTCCTCCCCCCTCTTCCTCCTTCCCCTCCCCTATGCAATTCTGCTGCGAGGGGAATACGTTATCGGCGGCTCCGTAGGTCAGTTGGGTGCGTGCTCCCGGGTGTTCCCCGATCCTCCTACCCACCATGCACGGAGCAGAGTTGTGACCGTCAGCCCTGCGACCAGAGAGGAGTGAGCCGAAGCAGAAAGCCCGAGCTACACACACACATGCACACGGGGCACCGGAGGGAGGAGTTGTGATCCTAATGCTGTGAATAGCTTCGGAGGAGCATGTGCTGTCATAGTAGTGAAAGAAAGTAATGCGTGCATGCACACACACACACTGTGCACATTGAGGGGCAGGCAGCATATAGGAGGTTTGGAAGCATTTTACCTTTTAACGGGCTGGAGAAAGCAGAGGTTTAAGGGCAGCTTTATATCCTTACAAGCCTTTATCCTGAAGAAGAACTCTAGAAACAGAGGAGAAAAATGAGTCTTACCTTGTCCCAGAGAAGATTTAAGTAAAGTCTAGCTACCCAGTGTCTCTAAAGCTCTCACCTTGCCTTACATCCCCAACTTGCTCGCAAGTGACAACACAGTGTCAGGGGAGAGTCACCTGTGGATCCACATGTTCTTTGCTCCCCCCACGGGCAGGGAAGCCCAGCTCTGAGCTGCGCACACACAATCAGGGTCAGCGGGAGCTCCTGCTACCGCACGCATCCTGTACCTGGATGTTGTCATAGTGATAACGCTCCATCGGGCAGTGACAGAGCAGAGCCTGCTGGCTTCCCCCAGGGCTGCCATTCCCAAGGATGCAGCACCTGAAGTCACTCTCAGGGCTGCAGTAATACCAGCAGAAGGTGAGCATGACTTTGCTGGCTGGCTCAGTTTGCTTTATATCACTCTAGTTTTTGCCTCTGATTTAAACCTGCTGCAAAGGTGCTTGTCAGCTCTCTTCCCTGCTGAATTACAGTCCTTATCGTGGAAGGTTAAATGGATGTGCTCCGCTCTAGATAGATGCTTTGCAGAGCAGCAGCCACTCCATGCAGCTGGTGGAGATACCTCTTTCATTTAAATAAAATAGAAAAAAGCAACCCAAACATGTTTCCAATAAGCAATACTTAAATTTTTGAAAAAAATTGTCACTTAGTTGTCCTGTACTGAAGGTACAGGTGTTTGGAGGTGATTTGCTAAGGTCTGAGTCAGAGAGGAGCCTCAGTACCTTGCATCTCTGGGAGAGGGTACCAGATTTCCTTCCAGCCCCATCCCTTAGAAACACAACTGCTACCTGGAGCTGCCTCGCAGACCCCCTCCATTTCAAATAATCCATGCATGAAAGTGAAGGCAAGTTTTCAAGATAGTAGGGGTTATATGGATGAAAGCCAGAGCAGGAATTGCCCTGCAGCCTCTCTATTCCTAATAGCTATGCAGAAGCCAGGAAAAAAAAATAAATCGTCTTTTCTTTGAATCCACAGTGAATTTTCAGGATTGGCAGTTAGATAGGGAAAAAAGCTTTATTCCTTTGAAACAGAGCATATAAGATACTGAAATCTTTATCAGACAATAAACATGAAATGCGGCAGTGCTATCTGTACAGCTACTTCAGAGCAAAAGTGCGCCTTAGGAGTCAGACAGTAGTACCTATTAGTTGGTCTGTAGTTGCTAACACCATTCCAGAGATCAAAAAGAGAACACTGGTTGCTGTTGAGGCAGTGTCAGTGACAACTGAGTTTGGAACAAGGAAACACAGAGCTCAGGGGGACAGATTTGGCAGGTGAGTAGAAGGATTTATTTCCAAGGGTTTGGTTTCTAAAATACAACAGCATCTTAGCCTGTTCTCTTCAGAGCCAGAGGAATCCTCCAGGTGCAAAGCTCATTTCTTCCCCTCAGCAAGTGAGATTTAAGCTTTGCTGTAAAATCAGCCTCCTAGCAATGCGTGGGGAGTGGGCAGAGTCACAGTTTGGGAGAATTAAGGCAGCTGTGGGCAATGGAGATCTTGGCAGGGCGGCAGCGATGGAATGCTCCAGCTCTGGCAGTAGCATCCTTCCCTCACGGTCCAGCTTAGCACAGCCAAGTCAGGGCCAGGGCATGGGCTCTGCCCCCTGCAAAGCCTGTTCTGTGTGCCCAGCAATGTGACAAGTGAGAATCATGAAATTAATTTTTGCCCAGCTCCCCAGCAGTGTTGTGAACCAGTCTTTCCTGTTAGGAGGCTCAAAAACATCTTCTGGTGAACTTGTAGGTCACCTTTGAAATGGAGCTGGAGTGGCAGGTTAATAGTTAATGCTTTAACTGGTGTAAAATCCTGCAAACATTTTGTGTGAGAAACTTGTAACGTCATGACTGTGTAAAAGACTATCATACCACTCTCTACACTCTTTTTTTTTGTTGTTGTTGTTGTTTTACCAAATTAGTACTGACACCTGCTGCACTCCCTCTCTTCTCCCAATTACTCACTTGTCAACCACGACTGATCTGTCAGCTTCTTGACAATTAGCCTGGGAAAGATGAGTCAAACCTAAAATCTTACCAAACATGCAAAAAAAGGAAAAGAAGCTAGATTTCATATCTTTTTATTTCCTATCACAAGGAATTGGCTATTGAAAATTCAAATATTCAGTGTAACAAACCAGACGATCAAATTAGATGAACCTACGCCTCCCTCTCTCTCCCACACTTCACTCCTGAGAAGTTGGACTTGTGATCACTGCTGATCTGTCTCTAAGTGAAAGGTACTCGTCGGAAATGTGAGCGCTGCAGTACAGCGCTAAACAAGAGGAAATGGAACAGATTCGCTAGTGAAGAGATGAGTGTAGATTTCTGGAGTGGGGAAAAGGCAATTTGGATGAATAAAACATGAGAGCTTGATTCTCAGCCCCCAGCTGAAGTTGTTGCACCATGTAAAGGTGCTCAAATGTTACCTGGAATCACCTCCAAGCATTCTCCTGCCTTGGCTGTCCTCCATCCCTCCCGCTCTCTGGCTGCACACATAAAGGTGATGGTGTGCGATGATGAGCATTCCGCTTCCTGCAGCCAGCACGATACGAGCATCCCAGAGGCTACTGACACCAGGAATGGATACACACTGCTGGACTGCCAGCGCCTACCTGTTGTGGAGCTCCATGGTGGCAAACTACAGTTGATGTAGAGGTTTTGACCCATGCCATGTTCTTTTGCCTTCTTTTTCTGATAGAGACGTTCCTCTGAAATATCTGAATGCCTTTCTGCAAAAGAGGTAGGTGAGCAGAGCTGGATTTCACCAAAGATATGAAATCAGTGCTTATCAAAAGGTGTTATTCCCATTTAGAGTCCCATGTATTTATTAGAGAAAAATAAGAAGCAAAAAGGAGAGAGGCAGCTATAGGTATCATTATTCACTGCCTGGTGCATAAATCATATCATACTCCTGAGCAAAGAGGGTATACAGGAGCATATAGACATGATGCTACTGATAAATGGCACTGGTTTAAACCACTATGTACCTCTCCCTAGAAAGGTACAAAGCAGCAAGGAACCAGGCTGGTTGCCACTAAAACACAGCCCTCGAAGGAAAGAAGAATTAAATCTACTGAGAGTCCAAGAGGATGCAGACTGAGTGCCACAGAAAACCATTAGACACAGAAAAAGTTGTAGTTCTGGCACGCACAGTGGAACTTGATCAGCCTCTCCCCGAGTCCCTCAGTCCAATTTGTGAGTATTCCAGGTGAGAAATAGCAGCTTCATTTCTTCGTCAATTCAATTTTGTCTGTGGAAACTGGCAACAGCATACCCAGCTAGTGCCATTGGTGATGGGAATTTGACATTTGGCATGGTGCATTTGGCCAGTTGTACTGGCAGACAGCTTCACGAGGCTCTGCTCTCAAATATCCACCATTGCCCATCGCCCACAGCCAGTTACTTGACTGCAAAGACCAGACAATGGCTCTTGTGGAGTACCTGGCTGTGTTTCTAAGTAACAGGTTCATGGGCACTTCTCACCAGCTAACATTGTACCCACAGAGAAAATGATATTAAAATAGTGTCAGGTGGCTGGGGTTTTTTGTTTATAGTTGCACACCCGTTGTTTGCTTTTGGTACAATCTTGGCAGCTAATCGAGCAGCTAACATAGTAACAACCCCCGGCCCCCGGATTCTGCTTATCAAAATGCCATCTAAGGGCTACGGTCACCAGTTCATCAAGCTGGAAGCACAACCCAATCAATGCTCTGAAAGCATTTGCAGTACTGATGGAATACTGGTGGTTTGCATGTTGACTAAAATGATGTCAAAGCACTTTTTAAAGTTAAAGTATTAAGCCTCCCACTGCTACAGGGAGTGATTATACTGTAGCAAACGAGTAACGGTGGAGAAAGCCAAAAGAACAGATTTGTGGCTTGTACTTAAGCAGGGAGAAAAATGGAACCTTTGCCTGAGTATTAATTTCAAACCCCTCTTTCTCTCCATCCAGAGCAATGCTACAGGGAGTGATGCAAAGGTCATGCAGCATCTTGGGCAACTTGAATCTTTCAGAGAGATCACAATGAGATTGAAACACCACTACTTAGACATCTAGACCAGAAGAAAGAAGGATGCTGCATCCTCTTGTGACAGCAAGAAATGCTTAAGAAGAGGAGAAGAGGATGTAATTACAAAAGATGGAATTTAGCCAAGATACAGCATGTAATATGTTCAGTCTTACCGAAAGCATTGCAATATCTTTAAATAACCAGCGACAGTCCCGACCTGATTTTACATCTCTGCTGGCAACATGATTCCTTCTCACTTTTTATAGGAAGGCGATCTAAAAAGAAGAGGCCCGTGGAATCAGTAGCACCATTTCCTGCAGCTCACAGATCTCCTAGAAGCTCCT